TCCTACTTCTCTCCTGCCGGCTTCTTCCTTCTTCTTCCTGCTTCTCCTCCCCATCCGCCCCCGCGCTCCGGTTATAAGCCTCCTGGATGGCCAATCCTGAAGCGCCACGTGGCATATACTGATAGGACTGCAAACACGGAAGGAAACTAGGAGCCAAGTCATAGCCATATAAGGAGTTGTTTTTTACAGAGAGCACTCGTCACGAGGAAGACGGAAGGCGGGAGCCCGCGCCATCTTAGGTCGCAGCCGTACCACGTGGCCCTGCCATTTTTGCTTTTGCAGCCGTCTTTGGTCGCGGCTCCCGCAGCTCTCCACATACAAGATGCAGGGCACCAGAATCAAATACAGTGACAACAGAGGTTATACCATGGGGGAAGAACATAAAAAAGAAACAAACAAAATCACATAGTGCATTAAAAACAACAGCAACAAAGAAAATACCTCTTGTGTCCATATCTTGGGGTTCGTTTCACTTAGCATCATCTTATATGGTCGTCTGTACATAGCTTTTGACCCTTTCTGCTGTGTGACAAACATTTTTGTGTTTGTCTTTCCTGGGTGCACAAGGCAAGCCCCTCTTGTTTCCTAGGTAGCACTCCAGGTGGTAGTATTCAAACCACCTGGGAGTTTTTGTTGTTGTTGTTGTTATACACAAAACAGGTTTTCAGTTTTTGCTCAAATTATGCCCTTCCTATTTTATCTTTAGCTATATATTTTTTTTCTGGTACATGAGTGGCAGGTGATATATAGAGCTTATTTTTTGTCTACAATAATAAACTTTATTTTTAATTTTATTTTTTGGTCTTTTTTTTGAGCTGGGGCTTTGTGCTTATTTGTAATCCTAGCTATTCAGGAGGCTGAGATTTGAGGATCATGGTTTGAAACCAGTCCAGGCAGGAAAGTCAATAAGATTCTGATCCCTAACCACAAAAAATAAGTCAGAAGTGGAGCTGTGGCTCAAGTGGTAGAACATTAGCTTTTACCAAAACAGCTCAGGGATAGCACCTAGGCTCTGAATTCAAGCCCCAGAATCACCACAAAAAATCAATAATAATTCATTAATTTTTATTGCTGAAGTAGTATTTCATTATATGGATGCACAATTTGCTTGACCATTTGCTTGACCATTAGCTTGTAAGTGAATGTATTTTGATTGGTTATTTCTTGTGTTTTGCTGTTCCAAATAAACCTATTATGGATATTCAAGCATATGACTTGTTTGGTTGTTTGTTTTACTGTGCTTCATCTTCCAATCCAAGAGTTCATGTGTCCCTGTGATGATGAATTTTCAGTGTCAACTTGACCAGATGAAGGGACCCACACAGCTGGTAAAGCATTATTTCTTGGTTCATCTGTGAAGACACTAGAATCAGTTAACTGAATCAGGAAAATCCCCATCACTCAGTGTGGAGAAGCAACCATCAAGTGGCTGAGAATTAAAGATCAAAAGGGCAGAGGAAAGACAACTTTGCTCTCTCTTCTTGTGCTGGTACACCATGTTTTCCTGACTTTGGACATTAGAATCTTGATTCTGCTGCCCTTAGGTTTGAGACTTGCCCCAGCACCTTGTCCCCTCCCCCACCAGGTCCTCAGAACTTTGACCTCAATGAGGTCAAAGCCACCAGCTTTCTCATTTCTCTAGCTTGCTTATGGCACATCATCTTATTTTCTGTACTTGCTTGAGTAAGACCCATGAATCTTGTCCTACCTACCATTTATCTCTATCTATCTATGTATCTATGTATCTGTGTATCTATCTATCTATCATCTATTCATCCTATTCATTCTCTTTCTGTAGAGAACACATTAATTATATTTGATTTTTCTTTGAGGAAAATATCTTCTATTTATTTCTGATTTCTTCATCAACGCTCCTAGGTTTTCACATGTTTTACATATCTAGATATAGATATAGTCAGATTTATGACCCAGATTTCATTTTTGAGCAATTCAGATAGTGTGAAGGTTTTTAAAAGTATTTTAATTTATTCATTGTTAATATGAAAGTGTTGTACAGAGGGGTTATCATCTTATTGGTTAGGTAATGAGTATATATCTTTTGGTGTGAAGTTTTTAATTTTTGCTTTCACAAGTTTGTCCATGCTATTCACAAATGTGCTTCATTTTTGTAATGTTGGTCATTTGCCTGGAAATCAAGAGCTTTTTGAGTAAGTTCTTTGGTACTTCCTACCAAGACTATTATGCATCATTTGCATTGCAGTTTAATTTCTTTCAAGGCATTTTCTTTTCTTTATGTCCTATCTTATTGCTTTGTCAAGTTCTTCTAGTACTGTGTTAGAGTGCTCAGAGAGGAAGGAAAGCTGTCAGGAGAAATCATGTGGAGCTGGGCTGCCCATTGCACTCCTGGTGCACACAGTAGCCAAAGGGAAACCATGTGTTCAACACTAAACTATATCCAAATGCCAAGTGTAACATGGATGAATTCAATAGAATGAAGTAGGTAAGAATGAATTTCTATGAACTTAAATAGATTGAGCCTGGAACTGGTGGCTCATCCCTATAATCCTAGCAACTCAGGAGGCTGAGATCTGATCATCAAGGTTTGAACATGGTGCAGGCAGGAATGTCCAGGAGAATTCTATCTCCAATTAATTATCTGTCAGTCTTGGGGCTTGAACTCAGGGCCTGGGTCATATCCCTTTTGCTCAAAGGCTAATACTCTATGACTTTGAGCCACAACTCCAGTTCTGGTTTTTTTTACTTCTTTCTTTCTTTTGTGCTGGTCCTGGCTTTTGAACTCAGGGCCTGACTGATGTTCCTGAGGTTTTTGCTCAAGGCTAGTGCTCTACTACCTTAGTCATAGCTACACTTCCAGCTTTTTGATAGTTAATTGAAAATAAGAGTCTTACAAGGTAGGAGCCAATGGCTCATGCCTGTAAACCTAGTCAGGAGGCTAAAATCTAAGAATTATGGTTCAAGCCAGCCCTGGCAGGAAAGTTCATCAAACTCTTATCTCCAATTAATCACTACAAAATTGGAAATGGGGCTGTGGCTTAAAGTGGTAGGGCACTAGCCCTGAGCAAAAGAGCTCAGGGACAGCACCCAGGCCCTGAGTTCAAGCTCCATGATTGACAAAAAAAAGGTTTCACAGACTTTCTTGCCTGGACTGACTTTAACCTGTGATCTTCAGATTTCAGCTTCTTGAGTAGCTAGGATCACAGTGTGACCCACTAATGCCCGGCCCCCATGAGGTTTCTTCCCTTTAGAGGAACAGAACAGTTGGAGAGTGTTGGAGCTGCACACTCTCTTTCTCCACAAGGAAGACCAAAGATAGTTGGAGTTGGGTATTTCTCTAGGTAAATGCATCTCTGGTGGAGCCCACCAGGTTACGCTCTGGTAAAATACTCTCTTGTCATGAACATGTAGGAGTCTAGCAGTTCCCAACTGAGGGAACATGTCCCAGACAGAGCTGATGAATACAGCCAGGCAGGGACAGGATGTGGGAAAGTTTCCAGGAGGAGCAGGGCAGGCCTGGAGAGTTCCATGAAGTTCATACCACACAGAGGGATGATGCATCTCCCCTTCCTGCAATCTGCCTCCTTCAACCCTGAACACCAGCAAACCAGGGAGTGTAGAAACACATGCATGCCTCAGACATCCATCCCTTAATCTTCACATATGCAAGTCATGTGATGTGGCCAGGTGTAAACCAGGAGGCAGATGAGGCCTCAGGTGAAGCAGCTGCCCCTTCCATGTACCATAAGGAATTTGGGAGTCCCAGAGGAGACAACTGATCTCAGAAGGTGGAGACGACAGGGATGGCACACAAATTGAGTTTAGGAATTCAGAGAGGTGAATTCAGGCCATTGGTGAGCAACTGGTCCTTTGAGATAGGGGATCCTTGAAAAGTTGTATTTGATCTTCCTGTCTCCATCTGGTACCAAGAGCACCAATAATGCCCTATGGTTATTTTTGTTTTTGTTTTCCTCAAGAATATTCCAGACAAGATTGCCTTTAATATCTGCTACCACACTTCAGGGCTAAAAAATACCCAATCAGAAAAAGACTTCTTATCCCAGGTTGGAGATGACAAGATGAAGTCAGGGGTGACCTGCCCAGCTCCTGGTCAGGTCCTCACCCCAGTCACTCACCCTGCCTTCCTCCTCATCTCCATCTGGCACAATGGGAAATGGCCTTGGTGCTTTCTATATAGAAAATACAGAGTCTATGGTTGGAGGTTAGCTCAGTTGGTCACACTCTGCCAGTGAGCTAATGCATCAGATACTGAATTTGAATCTGGTCTTGGACCAAAGAAACAAGAGAAAGAAGAAAGAAAGAAAGAAAGAAAGAAAGGAAGGAAGGAAGGAAGGAAAAGAGAACACAGAGTCTGTGAGGTGATGTGCCTGCCCCAGGACTACAATATGCGTAACCCTAGCCGCTTATATTAACCCCTAATCCCCAGCTTGCCCGACCAAGCAGCTATCCATCTAAACCCACTTTCTCCCCTGGAATGAATCAGCAATTTGGTAAATACAGGGACGCAGATCCCTTTGGGCCACATCACACCAACTTTGGGTTATGTGAACCAGTTATCTCAGCAGAGGGGTTACAGCAGCGTGGCACTTCAGGAGCATGTCACATCTGCTCCAACACTGAATGGGGCTGGGGAATGTTCCTTCTACCTCCAAATGAGTGACTCTTCATGAAGCAGGTACAAGACAAAACCACAAGCCAACCAACCATATCTGAGGCTTAAGACTTAAGGGCAAATTCTTCATAGCCAAGCAAGAGCTCAAAAACCTCAAGGTGGGGTTCAGGTCTTAGTGGATGGAGCTCAAACCCCAGTGAACAAGAAGCATTCTTTCCATGAGATGAATATTCTGAACTGTACCCTGGGTAACTCCTCCTTGTGTAGCTTCCTGTGTTAGTGGATTTCTATTTCCCAATACCAAGACAGACTCTATGACAAACCACTTCCTCTTTCATGGAGAAAGGCAGGGTGCCTCATCTTTGCACACAGCAGAGTCTGGATTCTCCCCAACACTGACAGCAGGACACAGCAGACTGCTGAGGTCTCCATGATGCTCATTCATGATTCCTGGCCCCAGTCTGCTCCTCCTGGCCTACTACTGATCCTCCTACTGGGACTCACAGGTGAGTGTGGCCCTGAGCATGTTCCCAGCTCCTAATCCAGCCCATTCCTCATCTCTCGATGAAGCAACCTGCCCAAGGCCACAGAGAAAGCTTAGGGACAGCTGCTTGAGTTTGTCTAGCTCTAAGGCTAGAATTTTCTGCTCATCCTCTGAAGACATGAACTCATTTGTCAGGCCTGACTATAACAATGCCCAGTGTGCTCAGTGAGAAAAGGAAATAGATATGTAGCTCCTTGGCTGGAGGTCCAAGATCAATTTGTAGGCAGGGTTTGCTTCTCTTCTTGCCTTGCCCTTGGTATCTTCTCCCTGTCTCTGCACACGGTCTGTCCTCTGTGTGTTTCTGTGTGTCTTCTTCTAACAGCACCAGTCCTTTTGGATGGCCCTCCCCCCACAACCTAATTTAAATTAGGTTAGTTAAATTAGCATCTGAGTAACAGCTCAGACCTTGTCTCCAAATAAAGTCTCATTGAAGTAAGGGATCTCACAGGACACACAAGTCAGCAGGTAACAGGTCCCCACAGACAGCCCTGCTCATCTCCCTTTTCTCATGGGAACTTTGTTTTCCCTCTTTTAGGACAGCAAGATGGAGGCCTGTCTTAGCACAGGCCAGGACACCCTGCCCTGCTCACACCTCCCCCAACAACCTGTTTTGCCTTTGTCCCCCTTTTGTCCATAAAGCTGACCCCAAGGACCAAGTCCTGGGCATAACAGGCTTTCTGGCTCCATAGGTTTGGCCTGTGGTAATGTGACCCCACAGTTCCTAAAAGGCTGGGGGCCGACTTTTACAAGTATTTCTACTACATATACACTGCACCCAAATGAGCAGTGAGCAGTGACTGGCTGAGCCCATCTGAGGGGCAGGCAGGGCTGTCAGAACTTTGTTTTATTCATTTGCTGAAAGCCTGCCTCGTTCCTGTGATAGATCCTCCTAGTATCGCAATAGCAGATGGGGAAACTGAAGCAGAGAGTGGAACTTGTCCACTGTCACCTCCCCTGGTCAGTGGAGATGCTGAGATTGAAACTCAGTTTTGTAAGCATAGGTTTATTTCTTTTGTCCCTTCCTTCCTTCTTTCCTTCCTCTTTTTATCCTTCCTTCTTTCCTTTGTCCTTCATTTTTTCTCCTTTTTCCTCATTCTTTCTCTGTCTTTCTATCTCTGTTCATGCCTCTGTCTCTGTTTCTGTCTTTGTCTCAATCCCCCTCTCTCTGTCTCTGTCTGTGTCTTTCTGTCTGTCTGTCTCTCTCTCTCTCTTTTTCTCTCAGCTGGATATTGAGCAAAATGGCCCCATTCATGTTAAGCCATACCCTACCACTGGTGATACCCACAGCCCCCTAGATATCCAGATTTCTTTCTTCTTGCCTTGTTATGTTACTCAGCCTTTCAGTGAAGGCTAATTGCAGGAAGGAAGGTAGGAGAGCAACCTGCACTGTGACCACTGCCTGTTGCACAACTCAGAAAAAAACAAAGTTAAAACCCAGTGTTGTTCCCATGTAATGTGTGATGTGTTCTTTACCTGCCAGGTATTTTATTCAACTTTCAATATGTAGCTTCATTAGCCCTCCAAAAAACCTTATATACTAGCATGGCAGATTACCCTGCTACATTTACTTATTTATTTATTTATTTATTTATGGTCAGGTTGTGGAGCCTGAACTCTGAGCCTGGGCGCTGTCCCTCAGCTCTTCAGCTCAAGGCCAGCGCTCTACCACTTGAGCCACAG